CAACCACATGAACAAAATTTTCTATCCAATTTCCCTCACATTTAAAGAAAGTACTTTCATACTCAACTGCATTTTTGCAACAAAACATATTACATCATCATTTCAGATGAGGTCCATACAAATTTCCCTTACTGATTTAGTGAGTGTGGTGTACTTATGGAATGTTTGGTGAGATTGTAGTGTACGTGTCATGCCTTCTGTTTGTGTTATTGGACTTGTATATTTACTTTGATGATATATTGTTATGCACAAACAAGATGTATGTAAGCGTAAATTATCTAATTAACATGCAAAAATATGTCAGTCGCTGGCCTGTCTTGGAGACTATGTTTACATCAATGTAGGTAATACATGGACATAACACCTTTCAGGTTGATTCCCATTTTGTTTGAACAGACTCACTTGTATGAGAGTAATGGAAACCACACAGAATTTTTAGTTTTGTTTTATTACAGCAGCCAACACATTAACAATTGCATTGATATATATATTGGAGTATTGACTAATAAAATATTCACATTTCTGGCACCAAACAAAACTCCAGGACATTTAACAATAGTTATGTTACATATTTTATATTTTAATCAATTAATTCGATTTGGTATCTTTAAGTAGCTTTTCTAGCTTCATGGCCTTGCCCATATCTCCTTTAATCTTCAGTTTACCCATCATGAAAGCAGTTGCTGGTTTCAATTTTCCAGCAAACATTTTATTGAAATCTGAGCTTTTCATTGTCATAGTGCAATCAGCTTTCACATTTGGTGGTTCGCCCGTTCCAAGTGACCCGGAATTGTTCTTAAGATCCAGATACCATGTCCCAGCTTCATCTCCTGTAGGTGATAGCAAAATATAAAAATATGATCAAAACAGTTTTATTTAAAGTGTTCAAAATTGTTACTGTTGTTAATACATTAGATAATATTGGTCTTCAAAAGACGGATAACAAATGTGGAAAAATCTGAAATATGGTGCAACTGAAAGATTCTTGGGAGATGAAATGGTAAAATGAGTGGGTACTGAGAAATATTGGAAGCAGCAGCAGACTCGGGAAGCGTTGAGACAGTTTAGGGATGGAATAATGGGAGGGAAGTGCAGAGACAGTCTAACAGCTTGCGAAGGGATTAAATGGTGGAAAAATGGAATGGTGGAAGCTTAGGCTAGCAGCTTCTGCAGGGATGGATGGAATAGTAGAACAAAAATGACTATTTCAATCTATGAGAAGAATACAATGTAGTAATTTGTGGGTTTGTTACTTAAATGACACTTACCTTTTATATCAAATTGGTATATTGCTCCTATTTTAGTCACCAATTCTTCACTCATTAATGTCTTAATTTGATCAAATGTTTTGGCTGTCTCAGTATCAGTGGTGGCAGTTTCACTCGAATTGGTCTGACTGACATCCTGCTTTTCAGATTCACTCCCGATTGGGCTATCAATATCCAAGAAAAAATCTGGCATCAGTGAGTGTCCTAAAAATAAATAAAAAAATATAAACATCTCAGTATAAAATGTGAATAATTAAAAATAACAAACAGAATTAACAAATAATATTCACTATAAACAGGTGACATAGAGTCTGCTACTCATAGAAAAGCAAACATAAACAAAACATTGCCTTTACTTAAAACACATATAGTGGATCATAGAAATTATTTGTATATGCAATAATAGAAGTAAAAAACATACCGGGTAATACTGAATATCAAATTGCCGGTGAAAAAGTCAGTGTCCAACTATACCCAGATAACATGCATTTAAAGATGTTTTGGGAGTTCAGACAGTGTTAAAATAATTAATTAAGGTGTTTCACAATTCCGAGGTCATTGATCTTTGATGTTACAAAATGAACAACGAATAGCAAGGAATAAGTAAGAAGTGCCTAACAGTGAATGTTCTGAGTTTATTTATCTGGTAGTTTTCAAGAAGAATTCTAAAAAAGCATTTTTTTTACCAAAAATGACAAAAGTATTCGCCAAAAATGGAGAATTGAAGATCTGATGTCATCACAAAATGAAGAAATATGCCAAAGGTTCTCCCAATGTACCTAAATACTAAGTATCAAAGCAATTGAGCAGCTAGTTTTCAAGAAGATGCCAAAAGTATTGTTTTTTACCAAAAATAAAAAAATTTAAGTTATCATCATGAAATGAAGAAATCTGACTTCACCCAAGGTATCTACATACTATGTATCAAAGCAATTGAGCTGGTAGTTTTCAAGAAGAAGTCGAAAATGTAATTGTTGATGGACGGACGACGATGGCCAATCACCTATTTGAACAGCTCCACTCTGTCATCTACAGTGACAGCGGAGCTAAATAGTCATAAACAGCAATAATAAAAATAAAATGGCAGTTAAACTAAAAAAATAAAACTTCCCCCAATAAATTGCAAATTTAAAGTATAAAAGTATAATTATATTGTATAAAGACAAATTAATCACCAAGAAAACATAACTTTATCACATATTAATTGAAATAATTATGATTACAAGTGGAAATGATCTCAGAGGTGTTTACATACATATCAAATGCAATTTCTGGGGTGTTTACAGACAAACCAAGGACAATATCTCATCATCACATCAAAAGTGGTCTCAAAAGTGTCTACAGACACATTAAAGATGATCGGAGGGGTGTTTATGAACACATCAGAGGCAATCCCAGAGTTGTTAACAGACACATTAAATATGATAGGGTAATGATAAGATAATGCACACATGAAAGGTGATCTCGGGGGTCTTTATGCACACATGAAAGGTGATTTCAAGGGTATTTATGCACACATGAAAGGTGATCTCAGGGGTGTTTATGCACACATGAAAGGTGATCTCAGGGGTGTTTATGCACACATGAAAGGTGATCTCAGGGGTGTTTATGCACACATCAAAGGTGATCTCAAGGGTGTTTATGCACACATGAAAGGTGATCTCAGGGGTCTTTATGCACACATAAAAGGTGATCTCGGGGGTATTTATGCACACATGAAAGGTGATCTCAGGGGTCTTTATGCACACATGAAAGGTGATCTCAGGGGTCTTTATGCACACATCAAAAGTGATTTCAAGGGTATTTATGCACACATGAAAGATGATCTCATGGGTCTTTATGCACACATGAAAGGTGATCTCAGGGGTCTATATGCACACATGAAAGGTGATTTCAAGGGGATTTATGCACACATGAAAGGTGATC